TGAAAATACTGTCTGTATCACCCTCATAAACGTTTACATTTCTGTTTGCACCAAAGATTTTTCCCATCCCGCACTCACACACTCTCTCTCTCTCACACACACACAAACACACACACACACAGGTAACTTTCATCACCCAAGCTTCCGTCGACCTTCGGTTAATGTTTCCTGTGTTTTTCTGTTAATGTGCGTTAGCATCTCTGCATGTTCCAGTTTCTTTTCTCCTTGTTTTCTTTTTATTTTGCTCATGATTATTTTTTCTGTTCATCATTTGGGGAACGATGCCTTCCAGGGTGGATTGTGCTGTGTTTTTGTGCGGAGCTCAATGACACAAGGAGGCCTGCCACAGGGCCTGCCTGACCTTTGACCTGTACAACCTTACGTTAAGCGCGCTCTTTCTCTCTCTCCACGTTTCTTTGTGTCTCTGCTGCAGGATGGAGGCACTAGGGGGCGGCGGAGTGCCATGGAGGCCGACCTCAAGATGAAGAAATAGTGCAAGAGGGGGCTGAGAGCCGCTCTTCGAATCTTGCAGCTGATTTCTTTCTGGTCACTTTGTCGTTTTCTGAAGAGAACTGTGCCGTCTCCATGTGCCTGGTTTTTGTGCGCGCACACACACACACACACACACCTATGCTAAGGGACATAAGTGTGTGTGTGTCTGAGAGAGCTGTACAGCGTTTTCTCCGCTCCCATTCATGGGGCGCCATGGGATGTTGCACCAATTTTCCCTATGAATAATTTCACCAGCACGGGTAGCGGGGGTCATAATTTGCCCCTGCTGCAACACAACAAGGACTTTGTGGATAGAGAACAATACTTTCACCAGCAATAGTTTGTTTGGGATCAGATGGGAACGGGCCAGATGAGTTCTACTTGGCAGATTTGATTACTTTGAGTCGTGCGTACGTCCTGCACCTGATTATGCTCAGCCCCTTTGGGCTGAACAGACGTCAACAACGAAGATGGCCACATGAGCAACCATGATGTATAGTTCCACAAATTCAAAGCGAGTCTTCTAGTGCTGCATGTTGGGCTGACTCCACCCCGAGCTAAGAAATCTGTTAGTTTGATCACTGCTAAAGCATAATGGTAAAATAAGAGTTACTTAAAATATTTCATTAAATAGATTTCTGATTTTTTTTTTGGTTGCAAAATTGTGGTTTGTGTCTTCTATTAATAGTAATTTATTGATTTGATTCAATCTATTGGCCATTGTATACCAGTGCATGTTTCAGCCCATTAAACTGCAGATCCTTCACTTTTTTACTGATCGTACTTCTGAGTACAATTGATAATAAGGGTAATTATATAAATATAGATAAAATTCAGCCACAGGTTAAACTCAGTGTAACACTTTCAACAATGAGCAAGGCTGCCACTGATTTCTGGCAACAAGCTCTTAACCTGAGGTATTGACAGCACCAAAAAGAGGCTTTCAAAACATTACCCGGCTCTAGAAAATATTTAATTAGGTTGACCTCAAATGTCAAAGCCCTTCCTATACAAGGAAATACACTAAGGCCCAAAGTTGCCCCTGAAGCAGCTTTAAAAACCAGTGGTTTGTGACAAAACAGCTGTTATTTAATGGGCTTTAACAGATTGTTGCTGAATCATTGCCACTTATTACTTAGGATGTAGGCTGTGTATAGAGCACAGGAAATGTTTTTGTAATGCGTGTCAAGGAGTGAAGTTTTGTACTGGAAAAGGTTCATGTAGTTGTGTTTGGGTAGCTGATACATTTGTGTAAATTTGTTAATAAAGATTTGATCTAAACGTGTAAGGGATCAGTTTGGGGATTTAAGCAGCATTTCACTTTGAATTTTTTAAGTAATGATTAACCTGACAAGGGGAATTCATTCTGTGGGAACAGTTTCCTGGTAACTGCATTTTGTGCCCTCAGGCTTATTGTAATCAGGAACGGGATTATTATCAGTTTCTATTACCTGTAAATGGGTCTGTAATTATGATGGTATCACAGGGTCTGTGTGATCCCAGTGTTCAAAAGAAACAGAAACACAGCACTGAAGTTGTGCAAAAAGTTTATTTTGCATTCTGTATATTAAGAGGCATCTTTCAGGAATGAGACCTGCCCAATCCTGGTACTGACACATTTCCAGTGTACACATCTTTACATTCAAATACTGGTGCAAAAATACTGTCACCAACTACAGAATAGAGGAAAGGGAAAAAATAAAGAAAAACAAAAACAGTGGGCCTCCTGTCAGAGTTTCATACAGAAAAATAAATAACTCACTTTAAAAACTACAGGAAGGCAATCAGGTTCCAGTGCATGGCAGACTACATGTAGCTGATGGTTAAAACCACACACGGGTAATGTTTTAGAGTCTCATCTTAACCCCTAGTTGAAGTCGTGAACAACAGGACTGGCAGAGGAGTAGAGCTTCCTCTTGACCAGCCGGTACTCTGGTCTCAGCTTCAAAACTTTGTTGGCATCGAAGATGTTCTTGAATGACGGCCAGCCGTCACTTTCTGCCTTGAAGACCACAGACAGCTCGAAAGTCGGCGTGACGCTGGAATCGGGGAAGATGCTCCCAATGTACTTCAGGCCGTCTTTGCCATCGATGTAGAGCTTGATGGAGGCCCCCCGGAGCCCACAGGGCTCATCAGCAGAGGCACACACCACATCCTGACTAATCCTGGTGGTCATGTGGCGAGGCAGCAGCAGCACCTGGCAGTTGAGGATGGAAGCCTTGGCCTCAGTGAGGCGACACTCCATCTGCTGAGTCACAACCTGCTGGAAAAGCCGCTGATCGTGCTCCAGACCAGCGTCCAGGTCAGCAACTGAATAAAGAGACAAAGCAGCGTCAGAATGAGAAACAAGTCACACCATCTCATTACAGTTTAATATCCACGTCAAAGGGTCCCTCCTTTTCTCTACACTAGCAACGTTGAGTGTCAGACCCTTGAATCAATTCACTTTGGACAGATTTTAAATCACGTGAAAGCTGCACTTAATATAGTACGTCACCAGAATAAAGGCTTTGCATCAGCAGCAAACAAGGAAGCGCTCTGAAAAGCTCAGCAAGTGATCAGCTGATCCAAAAGCTGAAGGGCTTGCATCAGACGAGTGTCCCGTGAACGAGCACTGCCAGTTCAATGCCCCATTGTTCTAACGCGAAGCTTTAGTTACTTCCAACCGGTTCCATGGTTTACTTTGGACCATTGATATTTAAATAGCATTAGCTGTGTTTGAAGGCTCTGCCAGCCAGAGAGAGAGCAGTCCTTAGACCAGGAGCACTTAAGGAAGAACCTTCGCCGTGTGTGTGTGTGTGTGTGTGTGTGTGTGTGTGT